CAATATACAGCCTTGCCGTACTCCTTTCCCAATTTTGAACCAATCACTTGTTCCATATCCAGTTCTAACTGTAGCTTCTTGTCCCACATAGAGATTTCTCAGGAGACAGATGAGGTGATCAGGCACTCCCATTTCTTTAAGAACTTGCCATAGTTTGCTGTGGTTGACACAGTCAAAGGCTTTTGCATAGTCAATGAAGCAGAAGTAGATGTCTTTCTGGAACTGTCTAGCTTTCTCCATAATCCAGCGCATGTTTGCAATTTGGTCTCTGGTTCCTCTGCCCCTTCGAAATCCAGCTTGCACTTCTGGGAGTTCTCGGTCCACATACTGCTTAAGCCTGCCTTGTAGAATTTTAAGCATAACCTTGCTAGCGTGTGAAATGAGTGCAATTGTGTGGTAGTTAGAGCATTCTTTGATACTGCCCTTCTTGGGGATTGGGATGTAGACTGATCTTCTCCAATCCTCTGGCCACTGCTGAGTTTTCCAAATTTGCTGGCATATTGAGTGTAGCACCTTAACAGCACCATCTTTTAAAATTTTTAATAGTTCAGCTGGAATATCATCACTTCCACTGGCCTTGTTATTAGCAGTGCTTTCTAAGGCCCATTTGACTTCACTCTCCAGGATGTCTGGCTCAAGGTCAGCAACCACACTACGTGGGGTATACAAGACATCCATTTCTTTTTGTTATAGTTCCTCTGTGTATTCTTGCCACCTCTTCTTGATGTCTTCTGCTTCTGTTAGGTCCTTTCCACTTTTGTCTTTTATTATAGTAATCTTTGTACGAAAGGTTCCTTTCATATCTCCAATTTTCTTGAACAGATCTCTGGTTTTTCCCGTTCTATTGTTTTCCTCTATTTCTTTGCATTGCTCGTTTAAGAAGGCCTTCTTGTCTTTCCTTGCTATTTTTTGGAAATCTGCATTCAATTTCCTGTATCTTTCACTATCTCCCTCGCATTTTGCTTGCCTTCTCTCCCCCGCTATTTGTAAGGCCTCGTTGGACAGCCACTTTGCTTTCTTGCATTTCCTTTTCGTTGGGATGGTTTTAGTTGCTGCCTCCTGTATAATGTTACGAGCCTCCATCCATAGTTCTTCAGGCACTCTGTCCACCAAATCTAAATCCTTAAACCTGTTCCTCACTTCCACTGTGTATTCATAAGGAATTTGACTTAGATTGTATCTTACTGGCCCAGTGGTTTTTCCTACTTTCTTCAGTTTAAGCTTGAATTTTGCTATAAGAAGCTGATGATCTGAGCCACAGTCAGCTCCAGGTCTTGTTTTTGCTGACTGCATAGAGCTTCTCCATCTTTGGCTGCAGAGAATATAATCAATCTGATTTCGATGCTGCCCATCTGGTGATGTCCATGTGTAGAGTCGTCTCTTGTGTTGTTGGAAAAGTGTGTTTGTGATGACCAGCTTGTTCTCTTGGCAGAACTCTTATTAGCCTTTGCCCTGCTTCGTTTTGAACTCCAAGGCCAAACTTGCCAGTTGTTCCTTTTATCTCTTGACTCCCTACTTTAGCATTCCATTCCCCTATAATGAGAAGAACATCCTTCTTTGGTGTCATTTCTATAAGGTGTTGTAAGTCTTCATAGAATTGCTCAATTTCAGTTTCTTCAGCACCAGTGGTTGGTGCATAAACTTGGATTACTGTGATGTTAAAAGGTCTGCCTTGGATTCGTATCGAGATCATTCTATCATTTTTGAGATTGCATCCCAGTACAGCTTTCGCCACTCTTTTGTTGACTATGAGGGCCACTCCATTTCTTTTACGGGATTCTTGCCCACAGTAGTAGATATGATGGTCATCCGAACTGAATTCGCCCATTCCCGTCCATTTTAGTTCACTGATGCCCAGGATGTCAATATTTATTCTTGCCATCTCATTTTTGACCACATCCAACTTACCAAGGTTCGTGGTTCTTACATTCCAGGTTCCTATGCAATATTTTTCTTTACAGCATTGGACTTTCCTTTCGCTTCCAGGCATATCCACAACTGAGTGTCCTTTCGGCTTTGGCCCAGCCGCTTCATCAGCTCTGAATCTACTTGTACTTGTCCTCCGCTCTTCCTCAGTAGCATGTTGGACGCCTTCCGACCTGAGGGGCTCATCTTCCAGCGTCATAACTTTCATATGCCTGTTGTCTTTGTCCATGGAGTTTTCTTGGCAGGGATACTGGAGTGGCTTGCCGGTTCCTGCTCCAGGTGGATCACGTTTGGTCAAAACTCTCCACTATGACCTGTCCATCTTGGGTGGCCCTGCACGGCATAGCTCATAGCTTCTCTGAGTTATTCAAGCCCCTTCGCCACGGCAAGACAGTGGCTGGTTTTAGTTTTATCCTATTTATTTTAGACTCAGCTGTTGTTTAAAATGATTGTTTATTTTGTGCAAGATCGTTCATAAGTATGTCTGCAAAAAAAATAAAAAAATGAAGCCAAGCCACACTAGACTTGTTGGGTTGTGGGAGTTTTCCTCTCATAGCTAGAATCAGCAGCTTGGGTTTAGATTTCCAATAGCAGTCAGAAACAAGCATCTGTGAGTATTTTGAATTTTTATCTTGTATTTTTATGCTGTGATAAATAAATACAGTGGTATATCAGTTTAAGAACAGTCCTGTTTAAGAACTATTCGGTTTACAAACTCCGCAAAACCGGAAGTAGTGTCCCGGTTTGCAAACTTTACCTCAGTCTAAGAACAGAATAGTGGAAGAGCACTGGCGGCGGGAGGCCTCATTAGGGAAAGCACACCTCGGTTTAAGAACAGTTCCGGTTTAAGAACGGACCTGGAACGGATTAAGTTCGTAAACCGAGGTACTACAGTAAATATTTTCCATGTGTGTAAGCAAGTTGAGGCTGAGCCAAAATGAAGTAGGGGAAGTTGTTTTATCCTGTCACCTAGGGCTAGATGGGCAGTCAAACATCTGAAGGTATCACATGGTGACAATGGTGGTTTTAGGGTATATTCCATTAACATGTTGTTTCCTGTGTAGTTACTTCACTTGCTTAATGTACGCTTCCATCCAGTTACCTGTCTTCTTCCTATTTCCACCCCCACCCCTTTAGCTGCATTGGGATATTTGAGCTGAGCCTTAGCATTGACCTGAATAAAGGAAAGAGCCTGTTACATTAATTATATAGTCCCCGAGGAGAATGAATGCAGCAGGATTTTCAAAATGACGCTCTCATCATTTTAACCGTGCGTTTACCTTCCCACATGACAGGGTGATGGCAGGAAATGGCTTGTGTTATGTTCTCAACAGATTTGCCACAGAATCTCAGGGACATCCAAGCATGGCTTCAGCCCTACTCTTTATCTATTTATCCAGATAGTTAAAATGCCCAGTGTACCATTTCTAAATCACAGGAGTATGAAAGAAAGAACAGAAGCCCTGTATCAAAAGGCATAAGCCTATACATATCCATAAATAAACATGACAGGCATCCAGTCCACTGCTGCCTTTTCAGTATGAGAAAACTGAAAAGAGTACGGCAAGCCCTGCGTGGAGGGGAAACAGATACAAACAGATTGTAAGGGAAGACAAACAGGAGGAGAGTATCTGTACTGGATCAACATCCTACAGTCCAGTGTGTTTCCTTGTGAGGCCCACCATATCTTATGAGGTAGATGTGGCTTCCCTTCTGTAGTTCCATATGCCTCCCACATCACAGTCAAAGAGCTGGCTTATTGGCTAAAGTGCACATATAAACACACTGTCCCATTGCCTTTTCACTGCTTCCTTGGGATTGCCAGCTCACAATGCTGCAGTAAAGACTGGTGGAAAATTATCCACCTAACTATTAAAGGGATTGGATTGGAGACTCCTCAGGGCCTAGACTCAGAAAAAATAGGCTACCTAACTCCCCAGTCCATAGTCCCACAATCCATTTTCTCAGGCCTCTCTTTTTCCCCTCAGGTTCATGTAGTGCTCTCTATTAATTGCACACTTTTCCTGTGGTTAAAATGCATGAGGGTCCAAAGTGAGCCTTGCAGATTGCCATGCCATGTGCGGAGCAACAGTCTGCCAGAACCATCCTCTGGCCCATCAGGCAAGAGTGGAACTACTGGAAGCTAGTCCAGAAGGATTCTATGGTCATTGGTACTGAATACCTCAGTATGTGGTGTGCCAGAAGGTGTCATATGAAGTCAGATATGTATGAGAGAAATATATGGTTGTAAAATGAAATCTTGAGGTTGGAAAGGGCATGTTAATATTAACGTTGGGGACACAAACATCATTATGTTTCTCCACCTCTCCTATAGCCCATCATCCAGCAGACTTAAAAAGCCCTCATTATAGAGAATCATCCTCTTGGTAAAATACAGTTTAGATTCTGCATTTCAGAGCTAAAAATAAAAGAACAAGAGAAGAATTTCAGCTGTTATGCATGCAGCAGATGCACTGCACACAAGGGAGCCATTATGAGTGGAATAAGTGAATGCAATTAACAGCGCTGAAGTGACTAAGCATTCCATATAAAATCACTATGGATCAAAGTGAAGCTACTTGTGCATTTGAAATGGCATCTTTAGCAACAGGAAACACAATACCGAGTAATTTTTCTTAATTTTAGGACATGGAGGGGGTTCCCTCCCCCATGTATTATTCTGAAAAATTATGCCTTGTCTACTACATGTTTTCAGAGAAAGACATTGCATAGAACCTCATGATTTTAAGCTATTTCTGTTGAGGGACAAGATGCTGATTTCATATTAATATTATCTCTTTGATCACTGCGGTGTTTCAGTTAGCTTGTTGAGATACATCTTGAACTTGACCTGGTGAAAACATTAAGCAAACATTTGGGTCCCCAACTAATATCCAAACAATAACTTTTGCAAATGCATATATATTGGATGGAGATAAAGCAGTTGTGAAATAATTATGTTTAACTCAAAGAGAAGAAATATGTTGCATTCCATAGGAGAGGTATCTTCATGCTGATCTTGAATGAAATGTGGATTTCATTCCTGTTTGTTTGTTTTTTCCATCTTATTTCAGAAAAATGAATGGCTGTGTTTGAACTGCCAAACTCAGAGGCTGCTAGAAGGAAGCCTAGGAGACCCTGCTCCAATGCCACTGCCTGCTCCAAAGCAACAGCCAACTGGATCCCCTCGACACCAACCCGGAGGAATTGGTCAGCAACAGAGAGGAGCTCCTCAGCAACCTGAAATGTCAGCTCCTCACGACAGGCACCTTTCACAAGCAAACCATCTCAGGACTTCAGAACTGAGCAAATTACCAACCACTGTCCAAGACAGAAAGCCTCCTGCTCCATCAGAAGGAAAGCCACTGCCCAAACTACCCGAAGAGCCTCCCAAAGCTTCTGAAAGTCCATTGCCAAAGGGGAAAACTATGGCCACAAAACCAGAAGCGGATATCAAAGATAGCACGACCGTATCCGAGTCTCAGAAAACACGAGAACAGGAGGTAAGCATCGCTCCACTGGATACAATGGTTTAGTTATAAGAGGTTTCTTTTGAGTAGCTGATACCCAACCTAAAAGCCAACAGGAGACAGTTTATTAAAGTGTTTTTAGCTGGCAGTCAGGCAGGGCATGATAGAGACATGGTCTGCTATCCAACAGGCCTCTTCGCACAAATGCACCATATTTGCAGAAGTCTCTCTTGAGGTTTTTTCCCCCTTGCCAAGATTCGTTCCTCCACTTCATTGCTTGCTATTTTTAAAAACATCCCTGGATTTTCGAAACACTAATGCCTCGAAGCATAACTGGATTGAACATATACTAGTTTCAAAAATGTATGGAGTTAATTTCAAGAGTCTTCTTAATAAATTAATGGAGAAAGCATGATTATTTTTGGGTGACATTATACTTTAACATCAACAACATAGGCCACTGTAACTGTAACAACATAGGCTTTTGTGTGGTAGTCAGAAGCACATCACCAGGTGAGGTGGAGATGAAGGTGCCGAGATGGTGGGGAGGTCAGCATAGTGCAAACTCATTGGCAGAGCCAATGTGGTGCTCCTGCTGGTGCGTTTGCACCTACCCACTGCCTCCTCCTCTGCCTCCAAATAAGCCACAGTGGGTCACCTGCCAGAAGCTTGTGTAGTGGCTCTACCCTAGCTGGCAACTTTCTTCCAGTTGTAATGCTTTAGTCCAAATGCAAGAACTGCCTTTCTGGATCAGACCAAGCAGGACATGAAGGTGCTTGTTATTTGTCTCCAGCATCTTTCATAAGTGTACCTCTTATGCACAGAGAGGTTTCACCTATCACAGCACTGTTTGTTTGTGGGGCCAAGCACAGTAGGCCGGTGACCCTGCTGGGTGGTTTGTAATAGCAGAAATGATGACAAGACAAGAGTGTTTGTTTATGCACAGTGATTTAAGGCATGTTTTACAGAGAAGACCTTTCAGAGAGTCTTTTTCCTTCTTTCTGACCCTAGTGTAATGCCTTTGCAGCCTTAGGTTCAAACTACATGTTACACTCATATGTATGTAGCTGCATCCTAATAGACCTCTTTATGTTTTAAACGCAGCTTTTGTGTGGGTGTGTGGCGGGGGTTATCCAGCAAAAGCCGGTAGGAGTCAAAATGGCTACCTGTGAATAACATTTGCACCTGTGAAGTCAGTGTCTGTTCCTTTTTAATAGCATTCGCTATTGGGTAATAATAGGGGTTACCAAGATCTAGCAGAGTTTAGCAGAGAGAACGAAAGTGCGAGCAGAGGAGGTGGAGTGTTAGGTGCCACCTGCACAGTGTGAGGCTAATTGTGAGATGCTCCAGAGAAGAAACAAAGGTGAAATTGAGTGCTTGAGGGATAAGTGAAAAGCTCTTGCTAGCAGAAGAAGTGGAAAGGTGGAAAGAAGGAAGAGAGTGCAGAGGGCAAGGCCCCAATACTCAACATCAAAATGTCGTTTTGATGTTTCCTCTTTCCCCTCTCCTGGCTCCTCCCAGGATGGACAGCAAAGATACTTCCCAGAGGACTTTAGAGCAAGCTGGTGTTTCTGCTGTTCTTTATACAGACTCTCTTTGCTTCTGTTTTTAATCAATTGTTCACATTGACTAATTTCAGTTTACTACAGCTGAAGGATCTGCCTTCTCAGCCCCTCTGAACTGCAAGTAGGGAGTAAGCATTAGCCTAGATGACATTTAACACTGATTTGGTTAGGGCTTTGTGGGAATCTCCAGTTATGCAATACCAATCCTGCTGCCAATGCTTTGATTGGGGTATTGATTAAAAACAAAGTTTTATTTGTGCCACTGTCCCTTGCCTCAATCCCTTGGGCTTTCTCTGCAAAATTGTCAGCCCCTGAAATTAAACTCCACAGAGTGGTTGCTGCCTCCAGAGACACTGATTAGCTGGTCTTTTGTCCTCTCTTGTTATTTTGTCACCTGGTCTTGGCATCTGAAGTGCAGGAATTAAGATCTTCAGCCTCTTGCTATTCAGGGCATGAATAAAATTCCCTTCTTGATCTCAAATTCTAATTATAAGTTCCACAAGTTCTGTGTGAAGATTTAAAATATTCACTGCTGTATGTGGGATTTCAGTCACCATAAACTTTACTGGAGCCCTGGGAATAAACATAACGCTTAGCTGAACTGCAGCAACATTTCTGAAATGCCCTTTTCGACGCATTTTTGCTGTGAGGAATTTGTAGAAAAGAATGGAGGTGGAGTTTGTGCCCCACAATCACAATGCCTTCTTTATCAAACAAAGACAAATGTCCATCAGGTATTTGCATGGGTGGAGCACAAGGTGGAGCAAGACTGCAAAGGAGCAGAAGGGTAAGTGTTATGGGGGGGGGGAGAATTTGGAGCAGGATCCTCACTTCTGCTCTATTTATAGAGGCTGGCAGCCTGCAGGAAGCTGCTGAATTACTGGGGCAGAAGAGGCTCATTATATTTTATCCTAGGCATGAGCAAAGAAACCCTTAAGAGAGAGTGAGCAAAGGTGGGTGGTGTGAAAGGAAGAGGAAAGCTAATATTGAGTGATGCATATTTTTAGTTTTGAAGAAGCCTACTTTTCCAGCTCTTTGGGCAAATGTTTTGTTTGCTTTTGGGAGGAGGTGTCAGATCATGACTGGCTTGTGGCAGGTTTTGCCAAACACCTATTAAAAAAACCCTAACTCTGTAGTTGCTTGAAAAAAGTATATTGCTTCCAAATTACTCTAATTCTTTGGCATAAGAAGCCTCAGACTGCCTGCAGTTAGTCAGGATTGTCAGATCCTGTCCTGATTATATCAAGGCCCCATTGCCCAAATGCTCTGCGCCCTATCCATGAGAATTACATCCTTCTTTTTATAAAAAAAAAACCTCCTCTGAAAATTTTTGAATGCAATTTCTCTTTTACCCATTATTTTATGGAGAATGGTTGAAATAAATGCAGGAGAAATTGTAATCACAGGACTAGAACCAACAATGGCAGATTAATTTATTTGCCGTACCAAGAAATTAACAGTGTTGTTAACAGTGCCACATCACTTTATAGTATATTAAAGATATTTAAATAGCCATTAATAGCCATTCTTCCACACCAGGGGATAATGGTCTTTTGACAGCTGGCTGTCAAGTTTGGGATTTTTTTTACAAGTAATATTCTTGACAATTAATCTTCCAGCCCACATTTTCAGAGGTACACACCAAGCAAATATTTGAACAAGTTGAAATAGAGCTGTACACACAGTAGGTAGTTGCTGGGGCCACGAACAATGATGTTCCAAACTTCCCCACAAATGTTCACCAATCTGCAGATTTGTACATGAAAAATAGTCAACTTAGGCATTAATTTTGTAAATAGTGCTTATTAACAACTGTTGGCCATGATAGCTATATGGAAACTCCATGTTCAGAGGTCCTGTATCTCTGAGGACCAGGTGCTGAGGCCATTACAATCATACCTGACTTGTGAGCCTTCAGAGGGCCTTCCTGGCTGTTGTTGGTAATACGTTACTGGACTAGATAAACCTTGGCCTGGTCCAGCAAGGTAATTCTTGCAGTCTTAACTTGTAGGATTTCAAGGTTTGTGCTCCTTCTTATTGCAAAAGGAACACTTACATTTTCACTATACTTTAGGCTACAAAAAATGCTAGAGCATACAACTTTGGAGCCAACCAGCCTTGGGCAAACCAGATGGTCCTTTTTAAAAGGAAAGGAGCCAGCCAATAAGACACTGTCATCTTAGCCCCTGGGTTGACAACAAGAGAGCACAGATTTACAAAACTGCAGAGCCAGCTATTTGGATTTTACAAATGTTTTGTTTGTTCCTAGGGACTTGCTGAAATCCAGACCTGTCAGAAGCAAACAGATGCAGTAAGGCTTAGCATGTTGAAGACTTGGGCTACACTTAGACATAATTTAATTTTTAAAGAAATATCTAAGTGTATAACATGAAATAATAAATATTTTTTTTAAAGAAAGAGATGTAAATTGATCATAATCAGTGCTGTTTTTCTAGAAAAAGAGGTGCTGGAACTCACCATGCCCACCTGAGAGGTTTTGGAACTGAGTTCTGGCGAGTTCTGGCTGGGGGGGAAAGCCCTGATCATAGTTAATGAATGACAATCAGAGCAATCAGAATAATTCTGATTTTGTTAACACAGAGTTGAGGGGAATCACATTTTCCTAGCAGCAAAATGTTTCAATTTGGGTTCTGGGAAAATATATTGTTTCTCAAAACCAGAAGTGCTTCCTGGAAGAATGACATCTGCAACAAATGACTAAGAGCTGTTCATTTATTAGATTGTAAATGGATTGCGTGAAAGGTCCTGTCCATCTTGCTTTACTGTCATGAACTTGGCAAGAAGGAATTTTTAATTAAATGCATCATGCAATGATACTTCTTTCATGTTAATTTGCAAGGGTGCCGGATTTTTGTTTCTAAACTTGATAGCTTTGCTTACATTCTTTGACATCTGAGTATTGAGAGAGAGGGTGGGGTGCAAGCTTAAAAATAAATTACCGGTACTTCAGAAGGTCGGCGGTTCGAATCCCCGCGATGGGGTGAGCTCCCGTTGCTTGGTCCCTGCTCCTGCCAACCTAGCAGTTCGAAAGCACGTCAAAGTACAAGTAGATAAATAGGTACCACTCCGGCAGGAAGGTAAACAGCGTTTCCGTGCGCTGCTCTGGTTCGCCATAAGTGGCTTAGTCATGCTGGCCATATGACCTGGAAGCTGTACGCCGGCTCCCTCGGCCAATAAAGCGAGATGAGCGCCGCAACCCCAGAGTCGGTCACGACTGGACCTAATGGTCAGGGGTCCCTTTACCTTTTTACTTGCTTATGACTCCTGAGTTTAGGAGCCCTTCCCTTCTTAATTTTTAAAATTATTATTAAAGTGAGGGATAACACTTTTGTTACTTGCTAAATTGTGGCTATTGTGTTGTAGGGGTTTTGTTGTTTTTTTTTCAAATTTTGAGAGTTTTATGTCCCTTTATGATTTCCAAGTTAATTATAGCTCAGGATTTCTGCAAGCCTGTGTGATAAACTGGGTTGTGCTCATAAAAGACTCTTTTAATGGCATCTAATGGAATTTGTTTTCTCTTCTTTTGTAGGAATCCAGTAAGCCTTATCCACCAGACCTGTCTCGTAGCCCTCAAAGCTTGAGTGACACTGGCTACTCATCTGATGGCATATCCAGTTCCCAGAGTGAGATCACGGGCTTAGTGCAGCAAGAAGGAGAACAACTAAACGAAACCGGAATTGTAGAGCCGAGCCCTCCAAGTCCTTCGGAACTCACTAAGCTGGAAAGCAGTATGCGGCCCCTACTGGAGTCCAAGGGGCTGGCTCAGGAGCCAACAGACAGAGGTAAAACATACCACGAATTACGAGAGGAGCAGAGGGAAAGGCAGAGGCCACGGTCCCTTTCTATCACCCCTGAAGCCTTTGATTCTGATGAGGAGCTAGAAGATATCATGGAAGAAGATGAAGACTCTCTAGAATGGGAGAACCAGAAGGAGCAGAGGGACAGCATGGAATCTTCAGATGACTTCGGCAGCAAGCTACGCCACGACTATGTGGAAGACAGCAGCGAAGGAGAGTTTTCCATCGTACCAACAAGGCAGAAAAGCAAAGAACCTGCAATGACTGACGAAGAGTTCATGAGAAGGCAACTCCTGGAGATGAGCGCAGAGGAAGATAACCTGGAGGAGGAGGAAGAATACGATCATGTAAAATACAGCGTTGCAAAAAACGGGCACAAGCCTGACTCGGAGAAGAGCAGGGAGGCCGCCTTATCCAAGAGACGCCTGCCTCACAGCTCCGGCAGCATATATGAGGAGGAAAGAAAAGAGCTGGAAAGTACTGAGGGGGAAGACATGGCTGCATCTCAGGGAGGTTTGCGGCGTTTCAAAACCATTGAATTAAACAGCACTAACAACTATGGCAGAGACATGGAAATCAGCCAAGAGGCAGACATCAGCCTGGACAGAGAACCTGAACTGGAGATGGAAAGCCTGACGGGATCCCCAGAAGACAGGTCAAGAGGCGAATATTCTTCCACCTTGCCAGCAACAACACCCAGTTACACATCAGGAACCTCCCCCACCTCCATCTCTTCCCTGGAGGAGGACAGCGATAGCAGCCCTAGTCGCAGGCAGAGGCTGGAGGAGGTCAAGCAGCAGAGGAAAGCCCGGCATCGCTCCCACGGACCTCTGTTGCCAACCATAGAAGATTCCTCCGAGGAAGAAGAGCTGCGGGAGGAAGAGGAGCTCTTGCGAGAACAGGAAAAAATGCGAGAGGTAGAACAGCAGCGCATCCGAAGCACGGCTCGGAAAACAAAGAGAGATAAAGAAGAGCTGAGGGCACAGAGGAGGAGGGAAAGGTCTAAAACGCCACCCAGCAATCTGTCTCCCATTGAAGATGCATCACCCACCGAGGAACTGCGTCAGGCTGCAGAGATGGAGGAACTGCACAGATCTTCCTGTTCAGAATATTCTCCTTCCATTGACTCTGAGGCAGAGGGGTTTGATGTCATTGCCTCCAAGCTGTACAAGTCTGGCAGTGAGTACAACCTCCCAACATTTATGTCCCTCTATTCTCCAACAGAAAAAACTGCTGGCTCTGGTTACCCCTCCAACAAGCCCCTGAAAAGTGCGGAAGAAGCTTATGAAGAGATGATGAGGAAGGCAGAAATGTTTCAGAAGCAGCAACCATCCCAGCAAAGCGTCTCCTACAGTAACACTTTCCAGCAAGTAGGCTATCGTGGTTCAGAAGGCCAAAATAATTTCGAATACCAATACATAGATGACTACAGCTATGACGGCCGGAATTTAGACTCCTCTCAAGCAGACTATCAGAACGAACTTTCCAAATCTGGGGCAGTTTATGAAGAAATCCTTCAGACATCACAGAATATCTCCAGAATGCATCAATCCTCTTCTCTGGATTTGACCCTTGAACAGGAAGTAAAGAAGAAAGGGAGAGAAGATGCTTATCAAGAAAAGCAGTTTCTGAATGCAGAGAGTGCTTATGAAAGTGGCCCACTCACTCCTGGGACAAGCCCAACCCAGTTGTCTGCTCCTGTCTCCTTTTCCTCCACTGAAAGCAGCGCAGGCAGAATAATCCCTGATGTTCGAGTCACTCAACATTTCGCAAAGGAGAGTCAGGAGCAGCCAAAGCTTCATAGCTCACCCACAGCACCTAGTTCAGTTTCAAAGAGCGTAACAACGCCCTACACATATGCTAAAGGAACTAGCACCGTCACCACTGTTGTTTCCAGTCCTGCAAGTGCACCACGAATCTACAGCTCTCCGACTTCTCTGAGCGGCTCAGATGCACCATCCGTCTCCACTACTAGCCGAAGTTATACTCAAACAAAAGTAACAGCCAGCTATGGTTGTCAAACAGAAAATATTTCCAGGGTCAGGAGCGTTGCAGAGATTAGTGGGCCGTCAGCAAGAGAGAAACTCCAAAGCATGACTGACAAGTCCACTGGACCCATGTCGACACCTAAAACATATTCCTACTTCAAAAGCTCAAGCCCACCACTTTCCCCTTCTTCTCCTACTCAGAGCCCCACTCATTCTGTTCCTAGAGCTGGGGTGCCACCCAGTTCAGGGATGGGGGTTAAATCAACTGCAGAGTTTTCCACCCAAACCCATAGCCCGGTTCTCGCCTACGATGCCCCCACAATTACCGCTATGTCAACCTCTTCTCCAACGGTAGCTCAAGGAACACAAACTCCCTACCGATCGAGTTCCCCTCGCCTTGCTCGGCAACAATCATCACAAGAATCTCCCTTTATGGTCATCACACTAGCAGCGGATGCAGCCATTCAGACCAAGCCGATTGGCGTAAGTTCCTCCATTTCACCAGCCTCCTCTCCAACTCGGCAAGGCCGCCAGCATAGCTACAGTCAAACAGTAATCCATGCAGCGCAACTCCAACAAGAGCAGCTGCAGTCCACTTACACAAAGACCCAATCAGCTTTCGAAAGAGCCTCTGCTCCTAGTGCTGCAATGCAGAAAGTGCAAACAACTGCTGCCGACAGCATGCCTGGTGTGTATAGCTGGGGAACACTGCCTGCAGAGAACATTTCTTTGTGTCGGATATCATCAATACCTGGGACATCCAGAGTAGAACCTGGACCCAGAGCAGTTGGTAGTAATATTGTGGACCTGCGGACTGCAATAAAGTCTGCTCCAATCATTATAACAGACCAAGGGATGGATCTCACATCCCTAGCTACGGAGAGCAGAAAATACTGCCTCACTATGGACCAGTCACCAAGTCGGCAGTCTAGCACCATCCAACCCTTAATTATCAACCTTAATGCCCAGGAACAGCCCCATGCTATCATAAGCACAGCCACCACAGTCAGCATCACTGTTGCATCTTCCATGCTTGTGTCTCAGCCAAAGCATCCTGCGGTCTATGGAGACCCTTTCCAGAACAGAGTGGACTTTGGTCAAGGGACGGGGAGTCCTGTCTGCCTGACACACATTAAGCAGGTAGAACAAGCGGTTCAGACTGGTACCTTCAGAGGAGTTGCAAGCGGCACTGGAATTTCTGCTTCTGCAGGCCGTCCGGAAGCTGCAGGTCCCCAGCAAGTGAAATTTGCAAGATACAATTTGCCCAACCAGATGACATCCTTGATGAAAAAAGATGCCCTGATCACTCAGACCAACAATGCACAGAATATTGTGAGTGCCATTCCCAGACCGTTTCCTCAGGACCAAAGTTCAGAGGTGTATAGAGGGATCCCAGTGGAACTGAAAACTCAGACACCCCCAGTCACCATTGGGACTAAGAAATCCCAGGTTATGATGGTGCAGATGGATGATATTGCAACAGGCCCTGTCACCAAACTCATCAAAGAGGAACCTCCTCCCAATGCCTTGGATCTCACAGGGATGAAGCCTGAAAGTCAAGTAGCATGCTGTGACGTAGTATACAAATTTCCCTTTGGAGGCAGCTGCACTGGGGCTTTTAACCCTTCTTCCAAGGTGCCAGAGAAAAATGTTGGGGATGCAGGAAGCGCTGACAAACCTAGTGGCCAGTACTATGGCAGCAGAGAACAGGAGGTGGCAGAAGCATATCCTTATCGAGAACAAGCAGCACCAGGGCCTAATCCGTACGAGGAGCACAGGTTCTACCATCATGGCCTGTTTGGGAGACTGTATTCCTCAATGTCAGATACAAACCTTTCTGAAATGGGCTTGAACTATTACCCAGTTAAGGGAGGGCAGCCCTTCAACGCCCCTCCTGGGGATTCCGCTGTGGATCTGACCACCATGAAACCTCCGTACAGCCACAGCTTCACCGAGGGAGGCTACATGGGGCACGGATTGCAGTATGGCTCTTTCTCTGACCTCAGGCAGTCCAGTGACTTGCTGAGCCATTCCTACCCAATGCGGAGATATAGCTCGGCCTCCAATATCTACTCTGACTACAGGTATTCGCTAAGAGGGGACCTGGCAAATTTCCAGGAAGCCAGCCTGGCTCATTATAGCGCCACGACAGCTCGCGAAATCAGCCGAATGTGTGCAGCACTCAACTCTATGGACCAGTACGGTGGCCGGCATACGAACAGCTCAGATCTTCTCCAATATGGACAGTATGGGCCAGGAGGGGGCGGAGGCATCTCGGCCCAGCAGGGTGCCATGAAACCAAACATGATGTACAAGCCAAATTTCCCAGAGTCTGGCCAAGGCTATGGAAACCTAGCCCAGTACAACCTCTCCAGACTTGGAGCTGTCAGACAGGGACTCCCTTCCACAGCCACTGTACGAGCTGCTGATGGCATGATTTATTCAACCATCAACACACCAATCGCATCAACTCTCCCCATCACTACCCAGCCAGCTTCTGTGCTGCGCCCCATGCTCCGAGGCCTATATAGACCCTATGCCCCAGGCAGTATCACAGCTGTCCCTCTGGCCAGCTTGACCAGAGTGCCTCTAGTTGCTCCCAGGATGCCCCTTGCATCCCAAGGTCTGTATCGTTATCCAGTGCCCAGCAGACTCCCAGCAGCTCCCACATCTTCAGTAATGGAAACACCAATGTATTTGGGGAAGCCTGTTAGCACCACTGCAGCTAGCACTGCTGCCAGTAGCGTAAGCCCAGCACCAGTTTCCAAGCCCTCAGCTCCGGCTGCTGTCCCCTTGCAAAGGCCTGAGCAGAAAGGCACCCGAGAGGAGGCTGCTGCAGTGACTTCTGGGGTGCAGAGTACTGTCAGGGATGCCAGCCAAGGACAGCAGCAGCAGCAGCAGCAGCAGCAGCCACCGCCGCCTCCACCACCACCACCACCAACCCAGAAACAGGCTGAAGCTACCCAGCCCAGCATTGCCAGCAAAGCAGCCACAGAAAGGGAAGAAAAGGAGAAGGAGGAAGAGAGGCAGAGGAAGCAGCAGGAGCACATCCTCCAGATTGAGAGGGAGAGAGTCGAGCTGGAGAAACTGAGGCAGATGAGGCTGCATGAGGAGCTGGAGCGGGAGCGAGTGGAGTTGCAAAGGCACAGAGAGAAGGAGCAGCTGCTGATGCACAGGGAGATCCAGGAGCTGCAATCCATAAAGCACCAGGTCCTGCAACAGCAGCAGGAGGAGCGCCAAGTCCAGTTTGTGCTGCAGCGGGAGCAGCTGGCCCAGCAGCGCTTGCAGCTGGAGCAGATCCAGCAATTGCAGCAGCAACTGCAGCACCAACTGGAGGAGCAGAAGAGGCAGAAGAGCACCTTCCCTCCCGTCTGTGACCCTTCGGGGAGGCTCCCTCCCCAGGCCGCGTCAGAGATCACCATAGAAATGCAGCGGACCCTTGCTCAAAATGGGCAATACTGGCCACCCATGAACCAAGCATTTATAGCTACTGCGGCCCCAGGGCAAGAGGGGCAAGGGCAGCCTCGCTACCCTGGACTCCAGAGGCCTCTCACCAACTCAGCCTCTGAAATGTCCCTGCAGACGGAAGACCAGTGGGAAGCCGGTCGGGGGATCAAGAAGAGGAACTCCATGCCGCGCCTCCGGGATGCTTATGACAAGGAGCCAAGCCACGAGCCATATGTTGCCGTGAAGAAGATCACAGACAGCAGTGTGCAGACAGATGAGGAAGATGGGGAGGAGCGCTTCTATGCATCCCGCCGCCGGCGGACCCGGCGCAGCACCGACTGTAGTGTGCAGACGGACGAGGAAGACAATGGCGAGTGGGAGCAGCCCGTGCGGCGCCGGCGCTCCCGCTTTTCGCGGCACTCAGACTCCAACGCAGAAAGCAAGCCAGACTCTTCAGCCAAAGGCACGGCTAGCATAGCGATCCAGACCATCAGCGACTGCTCTGTGCAAACTGAACCTGACCAGCTCCACCGAGTGTCCCCTTCCATCCACATCACCACCCCTGACCCCAAGGTGGAGATCGTGAAATACATCTCTGCCCCTGAGAAGACCCAGCGAGGAGAGAGCCTGGCTTGCCAGACGGAGCCGGAAGCGCAGCCACAGCCAGGCATCGTGATCCCCCAGCTCACTGTGCCTACGACGATTACGCCTTACTCCTCCAACCTCCAGATCGTAAGCACAGGCCCCCTGGATCCCCATTCGGTCCGACAGCAGGCCTTGGGGAAGAAGAAGCCCGACCCACTTGAAATTGGCTACCAATCCCACCTGCCGACAGATTCCTTGTCTCAGCTGGTGTCCCGTCAGCCTCCCAAGTCCCCCCAAGTGCTCTACTCCCCGGTCTCGCCCCTGTCCCCACATCGGCTGCTAGAGTCTTCCTTCACAACCAGCGAGAGGCTCAACAAGGCCCACGTGACCCCGCAGAAGCACTTCACAGCCGACACCACCCAGCGCCAGCAGACCCTACCTCGCCCCATCAAAACCATGCAGCGGTCCTTATCAGACCCCAAGCCCATCAGCCCAACATCAGAGGAGTCTGCAAAAGACAGGTTCTCCTTGTATCAGCACGCGTTGCTTCCTGGTAGCCAGGTAAGATTGCCGCTTGTCTGATAAGTAAGAGAAGTCTGATGATATTTCTGCTTTTCTTTTTAAAGGCCCCCGCTTATCACGTAATCACTGTATGCAGCAGGAATGAAGGAGAGCTGTCCCCGTGAAGATAAGACACAACAGGCTTATTGGTCACAGCAGGTCCCTCACTCTCCATGTAAAGCTTGTTTTGCAACTTTCTTTACAGACATGCAAGTCAAATGCATGATGCTCTTAATCATGCTCCTCTCCTTCAAGCAGAGTGCCCACATTTTTAAACCCAAAAAATTGCTAAAATAAAACAAAACCATGAAGACACTGAAATAATTATAAAATTGCTTTAAGGATTGGTGAGGTAGTGGACATTGACCAGTAAGTACCCACTGCAGCCAGGAGCATAGGAAGGGGGGCAGTGGGGGCGGTGCATCCCAGATGTCATCCCTGATGGGGGTGACAAAATCCCCCCTGGGCAGATCACCACCACGGCGATTGCCCCCCCGGGCGGATCGCTGCTGTGCCAATCTGCCCCCCAGGTGGATCGCTGCCATGCCAATCGCCCCTGGGTGCATGGCATGGGTCTGGGTCCCCAAGCGACTAGCTCTGATGCTGACTGCAGCCTGCTTTCACTTGACATGCTGAAAATTTCCAGAACCACTTTTTCAGAGTTCATTTCAAGACATTGAAAGGTATATGCATTTTCTATGCACTTCCAGACCACCTTCCCTATACTTAAAATGATTCCTCTGTCTTAACCTTTAAGAAATGTATTCCCTCTTACTGGATGTTAATGTGTGGTTTGTATATAAGGCATGAATATATATACAAAGTCCAGGCTATCTGAAAAACTGTATTCCCTCATACGAACCTGCCCAGGTTCTGAGATCTTTAGGTGAGGCCCTTCTCTTGGTCCTGCCACCCTCACAGTTATGCTTGGTGGGGATGCGAGAGAGGGCCTTGGGTAATCCCTCCCTGGAGAAGTTATTACGCCTCCCTCCATGTTGTCCTTCCACTGGCAAGTGAATACCTTCTTATTCCAACAGGCTTTTGGGAACTGTCAGCTTTTAATGAAAGGGCAGGTGCTGTTTTTATTATAATTAGCTGTATGTTTTAAATAGATCTCTGATAGATGGATGGGTAGATAGATATTTAATTTCATTAATGTTTAATTGGTTTTTAATTATTGTATTTTTTCTATGCTTTTGGCTATTCTTATTTTGTCCGTAAGCCGCCTTGAGTCCCTGTCAGGGAAACAGGCAGGGTATGAATACATTTATTATTATTATACCCCACAGCGTGAAAGAATCCACTGCTACTCCTTATGTTCCCAGTATGATATCAGATACTAGAACATCTTCAGGCAATCTACAGACATCTTAAAGAGGGGACCATCACATCTCACTCATACAACATTGCAGATTGACATCCTGGTCTTCAGGAGCAAAGTCTAGTTTTGAATTGCACAGCATCCTTACTGAATTTGTGCAAGAAATACATAATGAACTCCATTCCTAACATATTTTGTATATAAAGTCTTGTGCTTTTATTATACTTCTCAGCTTTTCCTACCTACCAACTGCAGCAATTCTTCTCATATAGGATTGCATTATGTCTACCCTCTTACAGCAATCTCTTTTGCTTCGTCTTAAATATATGTTTGATACTCTGTGGTGTGGTTCAGTATCAGCAAGCTACTGAACACACCCAAGTCCAAAATAGCAAGTGCTCCCTTTTCTGCATCCTAAAAACCCATGCGAACGGAGAAGCTGTGTGTTCTCTCTTGTGCCATCTAGTGGCAATAAAGAAAAATAGCCTTTTGTGCTTTGGGAAAAACATGTTGTTAGCTGCTAAGGAACTCCTACGTGGCATCTTAGAGGAACTTTCCCTTCATTAGTACATATGAAAACAAGACATCCATGTGGGAATTGTCATGAGATCTTTCGCTTTAGTACCTGCCAGGACAGCTGCGCAAGGGAAAATCGTATCACATTCCCTAAAATGCCCATCAACTCACCTTCGTCAGTCATATCCTTTTCTACACAGACATAAGAAATCTATATTTTGGAAAGCAGATAAATTGCAATGGAAAGGTGCTTCCAGACATTGGGGGGGGGGTTTAATCTAGGAGCATTCTAATTTTCTGGCTCTGGCAGGCTGTACAGATGTATTCTTGCTCTGTCAAGCTATTGTGGTAGGCAACACAGGTTTTCCAGTCTTAGCATTACAGTTTGCAGCTGTAAGAAACCGGTACAAGTTTCTATTGCAAAGTTGTCCCAGTCAATAAACCTGCTGTTATGTTTTGAACTAATTGCAGTTTTTAAACGACCTTCAAGTGCAGTCCCCAGTACAGCACATTGCAGTAGTTTAAAAAAAGACTGTGCCGAAATCAAGAACAACTATCTCTGGCTTAGCTTTGTCTCTCTGAGACCACTTGGGCCACTATGGATAAGACTAAATCTAATAGCATCCCCAGACTACAGGCCTGATTCTTAAGGGGGAGTGCAACCCCATCCAGAACAGGGAACATAGCATCTCCCATGGCAGACAGACTAGAATACTATACATGCCACACCCCAAATTTATGGGTGACTTCGCTCAGATGTTAACAGCACAGAATGGAACCTGGCAGAACACCAGAGACAGAGCTGCAGTCCCCAGCACCACCTTCTGAAATAGTATGGAAAAAAGTCCCCCCAATCTTGACTTCAGACAGCCTTTCCAGAAACATACCATGATTGATTATATTGATAGCTGCTGAGAGGCCCAGGAAAATTGACAGGGTTTTGCAGTATCCCAACCCTACACCCAGCAGATTTCATTCCTCAGGACAAGCAATGCTGTTTCAATGACAAAACCAGGTCAGAAAAAGGATTTGGGTGGGCCCAAAGAATTTGTGGCATCCAAGAATGTCTGCAGTTGCACTTAAGCTTTCCCCTAATGGAAATGTTTGTGACCAGCTAACAGAGGCGGGGAAAGTCTTGTGGAGACAAAGGAGCCTTCTTAGGGAATGACCATGTAACCATTGTCTTCAAGGTAATCAGGATTGCACACACACCCCTCTTTTCATGGCACATTTATCCCTTCCTGGAGCCAACTGGTCAAACCCTCTCCTGCTTGATATAGTAAGCAAGATGGTCGTACCTAACAGGTAATTGGCTCTGGTCCTTGTCTCAGAAATTGAAAGTCATTTCATAAAAAAGGAATAGATGGCACTCTGGATGTATTCATTGCAGATCCACAAGAATGCAGAGTGCAGGTTGCCACAGATGCAAGCAGTTTTATCCTCAGAGTACTTAGTAGATGAGTGATAACAGACATCCAAGGACTTATCCCATCAACTTATGTCCCAGTACCTCCGTTTTCTCCCTCTCCTGCATGCTTTAGACTCACACGGTGTCATTTTGAAACACCAGCTGTATTCACTTGGCTTTTTGTGTCTGTAAGTTTGAGTGCTGCATATATCTGAGCAGACACTGAACAGGGCAAAGAGATATCAGTTGGGGACTTTTGACCTGTGAATCTAATTAGGCCTGCCAGACCATTTTGGCCAAGCCATGCCCACCTGCCCAGCACCTGATGTCATATATATCGCATCAGGTGTGGGGCAGGTAAAAGCGCAATGGGGGTTTGCAAGGCACATTGAAGCCCCAGCTGTTAGGTGGTTGTTGGGGCTTCAAATCACCACCTAGGGATCTCTACAAGCATCGACAATCAACTGGTTGTGGGTGCCTGAAGTGCACAGCCAACAATCAGCTGATTGTTGGGAATCCAAAGCACATCTCTTACAAGCAGCAGGGGCTGGCTGCCCTAGGGAAGTCCCCATTGGGAAATCCATAGTGCAGCTGAGGAGGCTAGAGGAAACAGCTTGGATTCAAAATGCTGGAGGAAGCACTAAAAATGAGGATTTATCCCTCTGCAAAGAAAGTGGTTTGGATTCAGAGTCCTTCATCCAGCTCTTTGAATCCAATTTATTTCTTCTGGAGAGAGAGAAATGTTCAGCTTTCAATCTTTCTCTTTTTCTCTCCAGAGGAAACAGCTTGATAAACTTAGGGCTTACATGCTAATTCCTACATGCTTCCCATGTAGGAATTTTGTAGTGTTTGAAGTGCCCTGCAATAGTCATGAAAAGCATTTGACAGTTACACTTCTGGAATGACAACTCTCCAGAATAGGCTTGCATATATGTCAGCCATGAGTTGTATTTGGATTTTTTAAGGTGTTTTCTTGCCTGACTTGAAGATACTGCCTCAGTGTGTGAACTGATCATGATGCTCTTGGGCAAATTCTACTGATGAAACGAGTGCTGTTTACATTTTTGATGCAGCATAACGTCTTAACATATTCCTCCCTTGTCAGTCTTTGGGAGGTGTCCCTCAGTGCAACTGGAGGATTGCCTAAAGCAATGATATTTAAGTTTTGCCATTATTTCTCCATTTCTACTCTGCACACCTCTCTGCATATCCAGTATTCCATGCTGTAGAATAACCTTTTCTGCAGGAGAATTTCCCCAGCAGGTAGACTTGGACATTTCCATTTGATTAACGTTCCAACAATGAATATTTTAACAGGCTGGACTTGGATTACATCCTTGGTGTGTGCACATACACAGTCATTTACAGATGCACTCTCAGTGCATCTCCCTGTACACAGTGCTAATATCTTCAGTTTCTTGATTAACAGGCTGGGGCCCAGGTTGACAAAAAGCCCTCATTCCCTGAACACCCTCTCTCCAACCCACTTAGCAAAAGATGGAGTCCTCCTGGGTGACAAAAAATAGCTGAAGGCTGTATTCTGTATTGCATAACGGTTGCTTTAATTTTGGCATTTTCCTAGAACACTAGCACTAATTGCAGCAACAGTAAGGGCACAATAGTTGGTTAGACGAAGGGTCCCTCTAGAAGAGTTTTTGGATTTGATATCCGGCTTTATCACTACCCTTCAGGAGTCTCAAAGCGGCTAACAATCTCGTTTCCCTTCCTCCCCCACAACAAACACTCTGTGAGGTG